TTCCTTCCTTTTAACCCTACCGACAAGCGAACGGCATTGACCTATTTAGATAGAGATGGGAAAATGCACAGGGTCAGCAAAGGTGCTCCAGAGCAGGTAATAGCACCCTTCTGTTACAGTTTCTCTGTTATTTTGTATCTCTAATCTCTGCCTCAACATGTATTATAGATTCTAAATCTTGCCCATAATAAATCGGAAATAGAGAGAAGGGTACATGCTGTGATTGATAAATTTGCAGAAAGAGGATTGAGGTCACTAGCTGTGGCATACCAGGTAAACTGATTAGTTTTTTTAGCTCCATAAGACTCAACTTAATAATGAAGTGTATGTATTGAATTATATTGTGCTGTGAAAAAAATTTGAATAATTTTGTGTGGCATGCATTACATGTTCTTGCAGGAAGTTCCAGAGGGAAGGAAAGAGAGTCCTGGGGGGCCGTGGCAATTTATTGGTCTCATGCCTCTCTTTGACCCACCCAGACATGACAGTGCAGAGACTATAAGAAGAGCTTTAAATCTTGGAGTGAATGTTAAAATGATCACTGGTACATTTTATATTGCAACCTTAAGGAATAACATACAGCCAATTGAAATCTGTTTGATGGCTTTTAATCTAGTTATACATACACGTTTTCCATATTTGCAATTTCTCTAAAATGCACCCACACACACTGTCACACAGTACAGACTATGCTGGTAGCTATGTCTCTGAAATACGGATTGTATTAATTTGTCACATTCCTTGGTCGTAGTTTCTTTTGTTTTGTTAATGCATCAATCAAGCATAAAGGAGCAAGGTTAGTTTTTTTGTTGGATTGTTTACTGTTTATCAGCCACAGCCCTTCCTTTTCCTGGAGACTTTCACAAATTTTTCTGGAGAGAGAGAGAGATTGATGTTTCTATGAACATGTTTTCACGAGCCATTGACAATGGGGTGCAGAAACGAAATTTTGGGCAATTGGCCCTTGTTTGATTTTGATTTTGATTCTTGAGAACCGAGTTTGTGAAAAGTGATAGTTTAGAGAACGCGTGATTAAGCGATTTTCTAGATTTCATTTTTCCTGAAACTCATTTTCAACCATATGTTTCATAGTTCCAACCACTTTTATCAATTTTTCAACCACACATTTTATCAACTTTTATCAAAATTTACTAAAAATCTAATTTTAGATAAATCAAACCAGGGAAAAATTATGAGGCCACGTGTAAAATTATTTTATTGAGAAAACGCATGGTTGAAAATGAGTTTGAGGAAAAGCAATTTTGAAAAAAATAAAAATTGAACAAGGCTCAATTTAGCTTTCCATGTCATTTAGAAGTTTTAATGAGCTTATAGTGGACTCCAAACATTAAATGCTGAATTTGGAGATTTTCAACAGGAGATCAACTTGCAATAGGAAGAGAAACTGGACGAAGGTTAGGAATGGGAACAAACATGTACCCTTCATCTGCTTTGCTGGGACAGAACAAAGATGAATCTATTGCTGCTTTACCAGTCGATGAGCTCATAGAGAAAGCTGATGGTTTTGCGGGTGTTTTCCCTGGTAATTTTTCTGTTCTTACCTAAGTCTCATGTTCCAGTATTTGATTGCAGATTCTGGTAACACAGATTCATGTATAATTGATGGATTGTCCTTGCTTACTCATGTACTCGGGCTCCTGATTCATGTTATATTGATTTGTTTTATACCTAATTCAGAGCACAAATACGAAATAGTAAAGCGCTTGCAAGCCAGGAAACATATCTGTGGAATGACGGGTGACGGAGTAAACGATGCTCCTGCTCTGAAGAAGGCTGATATTGGGATTGCTGTTGCTGACGCAACTGATGCTGCTCGTAGTGCTTCTGACATTGTCCTTACTGAACCTGGTCTGAGTGTTATAATTAGTGCTGTTTTGACCAGTCGGGCAATCTTCCAGAGGATGAAAAATTACACGGTACAACCTATCTCGCAATATTATTGTTCATTTTAGTGTCTTGTATGATTCTCTGTGCACATTCAAGCTGGTCTGCATGCAAAAACTAATATTACATTCATTTTTTCCA